AAAAATGTTCTGTGAATATTGATTGAAGTGCACTCTGTGAAACGTGAACTGCCAGAATCCTTGATTGTGTACACATACATTGAAGATCAGTTGAAGAAAATATATCATTAATTGGCCAAATATACTTAGCTAGCATCTGGTCGCTTGATTTAACTTCACTTTTGAGTCTTCACACTTCAGTAGGGGTATAGAATGGTAAATTTGAGTTTTTTTGAGACCATGAGACCCAGGTTTCAAAATTTTAGACCAAGGCTTAAAAAAATTAGAGACCCCAAGACACAAAATCACAGAAAACGAGACCTTACGACCTATTACAAACGCTTCCGAGATTTTGAAACCAGGCCAAAATTTTCCGAGACCCAAATTTTTTGAGGAAACTTTCTTTACCCCTTTCAGTGCTCTCAGAACCACCTACAGCAGGCCTCCCTAGGGAATTTATTGCCCCCCAGAGATTAACCAAACACATGGCCAAGATCAACAATACAGACAGTGAACATGAACATCCTGTGGAAGATGATAACAATGATACTCTTACATTTATGAGGGGACTACCAACGCATAGTGGGCGAGCTGTGCGAGTGACGTTTTTTTTTTGGTTTTTTCATAAGGTTCGTAAAACTCTAATTAACTTAATCGAAGCACTCTGTTTTATAAAATGGGACTAACATAACGTTTTTGACATTTTGTACGACCTCTAGTTTTGGGTAGCGTAAAAAGGTAGATGTTTCGCGACTCGTGAAAAACAAAATTGTGTCGTGAACTCGTGACGAGAGCTAATCTTGCCCCCACCCCCTCCCCCTTTTTGAAGGCAGATTGCTACAAGTTATCTGCCGTGGACACTCATCCATAGAAGTGGGGGTGGGGTGCGTGTAGCTAAAATTCCTACCTCCAAATTTTCTCCTTGAGGAGTAACCACGCGTCTGTTACTTTCATCATAGATAACCCTGAGTCGAGCAAATAGCTCCTTTATCGCACTTAGAGTTTCTTGAATTCTCTTGTTTTTGTTATGATCAACTACCATTTTCGTCTCTTCCATAAGGCGGAATAAATTCGTTGCCCTGTTTACAATGTCTTGTACAGTTTGTTGTCCTTGTAGAGCTAATGATATTTCGTTTAGCTGTTGTACATTGGATGGCCTGCCAGACTTCTTATCATCTCGAACAGCAGCTGAAATGTTGACAGGAACGTGCATTCCCCATTTGGACGCCATATTGTTTAAGCGGCTCGGAATTGGTCAGCGGCATTTTAACTAGTGCCAGCCTTCTTCGCATTTCCTACCACCAGTCTCCCCATGAGAAAAATCCCTTGCTTCCTAAAACATCAGGAGCACCCAACGAGACTATAGTTCAAAACCACCTAAACAAAGCATTGTTAGACGTATTTTAGTATTTAAACGGTAGATATGGGCATATTTTTATCCCCTAAAAAGTTTTCATCTGTTCGGATTTCCTAGCTGAAAGTCTAGTGATCCGAAAATTGTAGGGATCAAAACTTACCTTTTCGAAAATTTCAGCCAGAAAAAAGGCTCCCGAAAATTCTAGGTGACCTTTTTAGGGTAAAATCTGTTAAAAACGGGCAATTATACAATTTTTTAGATGTTCGAAAATCCCAGGAGAGGCAGGCAAGCAAGAAATTTTACAACAAATGTTCCGAAAATTGTAGATCTCGAATCGTCTTCCGAACAGATATTTTCCGAAACTTGATGTTGGGTGCCCCTGATACATGGACATAAGTAACACGACTGTTGTTCAAAATCAACTAACATACTCCCCTGAAGACTTTCATAAAATATGGCTCTCAGAATATGGAGAATATGGGTCTACCTCTGAAGAAAATGGGTCTAATATTTTTACTCTACCCCTAAAGAAGTCCTCGATTCGATTTTTAAAACTTTATAACGTGACGATCAGTGAGGTGTTTGTTAGTGATTAAAAAAAAGTTTACCTTAACTTTTTGCTTCAGACAAGCGTCCCACTATCATATTTCAGCGGCTGGATAGCTTGCGTTCTTAAATAGACCTTTTCACGGTATTTTTCAACTTTTGACATGGAGGAAAAAGTCAGAAACAGTCCTGGATTTTGGATTCCACGTCAAGGATTCCAGATTCCAGGCACCGGGTTCGGGATTCTTTGTCAGTGGAACATGGTTTCCTGATTCCAGAATCATTAGTGGGTTTCCGGATTCCAGAGCCTAGGATTCCGGATTCGACAAGCAAAAATTTTCTGGTTGGAGATTCCGGAACCCGCGGTAAAGGCTCAACAACAAAAATTGTGCCTTAAATTCTTGACCGTGAACTCCGCCGTATAACGTTGCACGTGTTGTTATTGGAATTTGTGCAGTGATGACGGAAAAGAAAAGAACTATACGAATTAAAGTTATCGTGTAATGCACGAGATATCATTGTTTTGCCATGACGTTCTCCCCGTTGCATCAGTGTAGCACCCCGGCTAGGCTGTCTAGCTTCACAATTAAAAGTACTAAAGTACGTTTCACGTACACTATAGTAAGAAAAGGTAAAAAAAAAGTCAAATTACTGATTTTTGAACGTGGTGAAAATTCTCTCCTTTTCCTGATTTGTGCAAGCTGTTTTTGTGATGTGGCCTCAGTTAAGTCGGCAGCTGAATTCCTCAAAGTCTTGGCATAGGTTCTTGGAGTCGTTTATTAGTCACGCCTATCATTAAGGCAACAAAGTAATCAACGGTCTCCTTCAAGCCCAGGGTTTTACAATAAAGAAAATCCTGACGTTTTTCAGCAAAAATGTTGTCTCCAACTGAAATAAATTGGCTTTTATTGATGTAACGCTAGAGTTTCTCAAAGTTCTTCACGCTTTTATGTTGATGGTTGCCCGTTTGGCAAGTGTTTCTCAGTTCTACTTGAACTCAGTGGCAAGTCTTGTAGCGCCCGCCTTCCAACGAGTGCAGATTTGTCTGGTCAAAAGCCAGTATCCGGCTTTATTACTTGTAGAGTTAACTACACTTGACCTAAAAATACAAAATGGGAAAGTTTTTAACGTAAATCACATTCTAAACGTCAACCTCTTACCGTTTCACACTGAGTTACATAGTTCGCATTTTCCATGAAAAGTGCACGATTTGTCTTCCCTTGTTTGTTTTGGCTGCGGCTGTTCCCTATCCTTCAAACAAACAACTCTTCAATTTGCTGTTCAAACTGTGAATGAACACTAACTAACAGTTTGATTGAGTATAGTGGGCGAGTGGGGAACACGCAAAGGGGGCAGTGGGTGGGGGGGAGGGGGGCGGTGGAGAGGAGGCCTGCTGACCTGCTCTCCTTGCGGCTCCCCTCGTGCGCGAGCGTCCTCAAAATTTCTCCCTCTGCCCTAAAAGATAAATAAATAAATAAGTAAATAACGGCGCCTGTAACGAGATAACATTAAATGAGCCCTAGGGCTTGGTATAGAGCCTGACAATACCATAATCTTCAAGCCTCCATCTCAGGACTCGGTCATGGAACGTTAACAGGCCTCAGCTGTGCTCCATCTTTATGCTTGTAAACTTGAAAGGAACACCTAAATTTCGAGAGAAGCCAAATTTCAAAAAGAGCACGTACAGCCGCCTAGCCTGCGTAGCAGGCGCTTGAAGTAAAGGGCGCAAACAAAGAACGGGGCGCGCGAGGGATCTCCCTCGCGTTCTTTCTTGCACCCATTTCTTCCAAGCGCCTGATGCTACGCAGGCTAACAGCCGCCTTCCAGCTCTTCTTGGCCGCCCGGGCCGGGACCCAGAAAAACTCCAGGAGGTTTGTTTTCAAAATGGTTTAGTTGAATGGATCGGTTTGTATGAAAATAAATTATTTTGTCCCCGGGTGATAATGAGGCTCCCGCATTGGAGCTTTCAGCTCATAAGAGTGTCCATTGCGATTCAACTGTAGTATACAAACAAACAGAATTGAGAAATAAAGAGAGGAAAAAATTGGCCTTGTGGCCCCGGTCCTAGCTTATGGCTCACTTCCCACCAGGTGTAGAGAGGCCAGCAGCTTGCCTAGTATCAGAAGCACTTCCGGTCGCGTTGGCAATTTCCGGTGAAAAAAAATTTCGCGGTCGGGAGTGCAATTTGTTTTCTATTAAAACTCTACGTGTTATCAGCTGCAAACATTACAATATTTGCAGTGTTTTGCAATCTTTTTTACTCGATAACGGCAGCGTAATTGATCAAAAGCATATGAGATTAGTAATTAAGTAGCCAGGTTTCATGCTTCCTTACTAAACACGCAAGAATCGAAAAAAACTCCAAAATTAATATTAATTTAGAAGGTTTTTTTTGCGAGAGAGCTAATGACTGCTACAGTACACCCCACCGGCCCGATTTACTGAAGAAGCTGTTGATTGTTTTGTATTCAACTTGACTGGGGGTTCACAAAGAGAATTATTTTTATCACGGTGACCGATTTGCTTAACACTTGCCTTTGAGGGGGTCTTGGTTAAGATCAAAGAACTTGTCAAGTTTTGGGATAAGCAAATTGGCTTCTTAAGTCTTTATCTTAAAGGCCAGTGATATAAATCGCCGAATTCTTAGGGTATTAGCCGGTTTTTCTCTCCTTAAAGTTCCACTTCCAGGTTAGGTTATCCTTTGAGGTATATCTGTTGATTACCCTTGCCCGGCCGTCGTGAAATTTAATCAATCACGTCAATCAACAAGACCTTTAACAGTCAATCCATAACAATGCTTGGGAGCTGCAGTCATTGCTGGGTGTCAGTCAAGGGATAATTAGTTGTGACATTAACCCAGCAGCATTTGAAAGGCGAGATGTTTCTTTTTCAATTTTTCAACAAAAGCGCCGCGATGTGATTGGCTTGAAGATCACGCATTCGTCATACAAGGCGGTAGATGACTGACAGCCTATTGTTGTAGAAGGCGCACCGGCCAGCCATGCATAACATTCTCCCAATCGCTGGAATCAAGTTACCTTCCAAAACATAACATCGTCAGGTCGCATATTTTTATAAATACCCGTGGTTACTCTGCGAGTCTGACATCGAAACGGTGATGTGCACGCAGAGATTACTACTCGTGAGCTTCTTAGCTCTGTTCGCGTCTCCAACGGATAGTGAATCCACATTGGCGTCCACCATTAATCAAGTTGTCAAACCCGAGAGTACTGTTAGTAATGCACAACACGAGGACCCAACTCAGCCCTCGCGTCGGAACAGGTCGAATCCTCGAGTTAACAACTCACCAAGAAAGGAGAATGTTAGCGACGCACAATCTGTAAAGAATGATACAACTTCTTTAACGCTGCAGCGCGAAATCTTAGCTCTTATGGGCTTGCCGCATCGTCCTCGCCTCAGTCTTAACACCCGTCTTCATGGCCGCAAAATGTCTGCCCCACTCTATATGATGGACTTGTACAACAGCTTGGAAATGAATGCCAGTGATTCAAACGGAAATTTTTGCTGCGATAGCTCGGTCATGGATTCACGAGCGGTTGGTGCGGACACCATCATGAGCTACGTTAACCATGGTAAGGTCATCTTCCATAAAAATATTAACGTCCAAATTGGTACTGTTTTTTCACTAACGTCTGAGGGTTTTATTGATTACAATCGGTAGATAACAGTACTGTAATTGCATAATCGCGTATGAGAAATGATAGCTTTATTTGAATAGAGCTTTTAGAGTAAGTATTTGTAGAAGACCCACAAGTTTGTATATGGGTACCAACCAATGACATGTTACGCGCTAGTGTACGCGAAAGAAACCAACAAGTGTTCGGTTCGAAATCGACCACGGTATGTAGAGAGTGGATAATTATGAAGTGAAATGTACAAGCTAATCCGTAATAGGCCAAGAAAATTTATTGCCATGACGCAGTTCACGGCAACATTGTTACCACAGAAAGGGAGAAAAGGAACATTAACAATATCGCCACATTCTGTACTGCTTATTATCCGTGCCGTAAAAAATGACAAATGTTTTTCATTTTCTGCGCCTCCTTAGAAAATTTGTGGTCCTATTGTCTAAAGCGGAAACCTTGTCTGTATTGTTAAGAGATATTTAATTAGCACTTCTCGAAGATACTTCACGAATTATCGCAGTTTTTGTCGCGCACTTTTTGTATCTTTAAAAGTAATATACTTGGCCGAATAAAACTTCTATAAAAGTGAAGTAATATCACACTTCTCTTTTGATATGTGAATCGCACATCAGAGCATTAAAAACTAAGCCTGGGATGAACGGAGCCCATTTTTTTATACAGACTTGAAAAGATGAAGGAAGATTTTAAAGAAAGCAGTTTGACGGGGTTAATAGTTTAATCAGTTTACGCGCAAAGGATAGAAAAAATGTAATAAGCAACTTAAATAAATCTTTCCATCTAGTAAAAAAATAAGCTATTTATAACGACTTGACGTCGCTTTCTGCTAAGAAAATTGATGTTGGCGTGTAAAATATACCCAAAATTAGCACAAGGCGTACATCTTTTAAATTAGAGTGCTTTTATCGGTTCCACCAATAGCCTCCATTTGGAATCCTAAGTTATTAATCATTACTAAACGTCACGTCTGTAAATGTGGCCCCTTGCATTGCTCACGAGCCTACTGAATATGTTTTCGTAGTTCCGATTTATCATTTTGTCACCGCACCGGATACTTCGAAATGTCCTGTACTCAACTAAACTTTTTGGAACAGATCGAGTTTTAAAATCTCAACGGTATCTTTACCTATCTGATATTGCGGCAATTGACACAGACAAAATTAGTCATCATTGCTCGCCAGAAAGAAGCCTTGTAATAGCGACGTTATTTTCTTTCTGTAATGTTTAAGTTCTGTGCATTTACAAATAAGCCGAAAACATACAACCTTTTTTTTTTAAGTCTGGTCACGTATTATTATAATCAGTTGTTTTGTGAGATGAAAATCTTTGACCGCAAAGAGAAATCTGAAAAGTCAATCAATATTTCGCCATTTTAAAACGTAGCTTTTAACTTTAACGAATTCTAAAGTGGATCTTTTTGGAGTCCATTGATGAATGACATTTTCCAGTGGCATTACTGAATTGGAAGCTGCTGTATTGAACGGTACTTTCCGGTAACTCGCTGTTTTATACTGCTAAATAATGTGAAGAATTTCTATAACTTCACCTTGGTGTGCCTCAATTCAGAGACGCCTTAGCGCTCACGGCAATTCCTACTTCGATGCCTTAGCACTATTTTCACTTTATGCCGTTTCTGGTAAACTGTATTTACCGCTCGATTTTTTATTTATTTACAATTTGACAACCGTCATCAGTTCGAGATGTATTTAGGCAAAATTTCGTGACTAGACATGGGCGAATTGATGCAGACAGAGTTAAATGGCCTGAAAAATGATGAGTATGCGAAACAAGGCCTAATCTTAGAAAGGCACTTATCGACACTCCACGACCACTTAAAAATACACTGATCGATCCGACAAAATGACGAATTTCTGTGACATATGTCAGTATTTTATGGTCAATGGCACCTTGAAATATGCAAACTAATTGGATAAAAAAGATTCTTCATGGCAAAACAGAATAGGTCGGTGGGATAAGGATCTTTTTAACAAGGATCGATGCAAGCGGATTAAAGTGCAGTTAATCTTTTTTGTCCGAATCAGAGGTGGTCCCAATAGAATATATAAAAAAATGATGTTCTTGATGAAACGTCGAGTGTCTGAAAGTTTATGCCTTACGTTCGTCGCTTTTACTTGAAATATTAAGTGTCGATGCATGTAGCTTTGCATCTAATGGGGGACACATAGACTAAATTAGAACCCCGGTAACTCGAACTCTGAAGGGAAAAGAAAAATAGTTCGAGTTAGCTGGGCTTTCGAGTTATCGGGGTAAATTCAGTGAAATTTTGATCAAGGGAAAGGAAATATAGTTCGAGTTAGAGGGGAATTCGAGTATATACTTTCTTAATATACCTAAAAAGAAATTGTAAAAATATCTTCCATGCACTATAATTATTAAAAACCTATTTTGGTACACATTTCTGTTATCAACAGTTGATTATGACTATGCTTGAGTCATTTCACGAGTCCGAATAGGTCAACTTTCACCTTCTTGGATTTCTGGGTAGCTCGGATCAAATGAAACTTGTCTTGGTGGGGTTTCGATAAACAAATCGGAATTTAGATTTTACTGAAATCCTTCTCGGATTTCTAAAGACGGATTTCGAGCATCAAAATCGCTCATAAAGATTTTGACGTACAAATCCGTATAGTTGCGTAATCTGTTTTGTGTTTCCGTGCTGTGAAGGAAAATCTTAAAATCCAGATTTAAAAGTCCAAATCAGGATTTCTCTATCGAACGGACCATTAACAAAACAAGTAAGTCTGTTGACGAAATCCTATTGTTTAACGATTGAAGTAGTCCGTTTCCTCTGGTGGCGGTTATTGAGCTGTATAAGCAGGGGCGGATCTAGGGGGAGGGTGCAGGGGGTGCGCACCCCCCCCTCCCCCTGAGATGACCTGCGGTTTCCTAATACAACTAGTATTCTGCTAAAAAAACTATGTGGTTTGTTGGTGTTGAAGTAGAGCAAGAGACGAGTGCACCCCCTCCTAAAAAAAATCCTGTATCCGCCCCTGATAAGCTGGGCCTAACTTTTGTGCTTGTTGATCAAATCCTTTCATGTGACAAGCTACTAAGTATTGCTTTCCTGAAGAACTTTTTATTTTGTTGTAATGGTGGTTTAAAATTTCGAGTCTGTGAAAAAAAACCTTCAAAAATTGACCCACCATACTAGAATTGCTCTCCTGTGGTACTCAATTAAGCTGTGCAAGGTGGTTCTAAGAAGTCTGTGGATGAGATTCTACTGAAGTCTGTAAAGTGTAACCATTCTATCGAAACCTTTTGAGCGTTTGAGCGTTACTATCCTTCTGTGTTACCGCGTAAAAGTTTGCTGTGACTTGCGTGGTCATTTAAATCGAAATTATGCTTTTTGGCGAATTGGTGTATCAAGAGTGTAAGGAGAGATAATCGCATGTCCCTGAAGGCGAAAAAAGGGATCAGAGAGGACACCCTAAAGATATTTTTAGATAAAATTAAGACGCTAAAATTATAACGGTACTTTTGAAATATGTGAAGAGCGGCTTCTTTTGACTTTTAGCCGGTCTGTCCAGCTGGAAAAGCCGATTTGACGATGATTTGTTTTATCAAGGAGTAGTTATTGTTTCATCGCAAATTATTTTAGTGAAATTCGTCAAATCTTTAAGTCGAAATCCCCTGGTTCTTTTTGATAAGAATGTTTACTAAAATATCGCATTTTCTCTGACTACTCTTAATTTTACCATCAGATTAAGCACAACTGCAGCATTAAATTTGTTGGTAATGAAAAAAAAATATTGATAAAAGGGACAATTTATACAGGAAAGAATAAATTAATAACATTTTTTTCAAATCGCTCCAAAAAAAGACGTTGTTTAGAAAGAATGTACGAGAAACCGTGTAAATGAAGATAAAAATTACATTTTTGCCCGGGTGAAATAAACACTGGCTGTGATTTGCGGAAGGAAAACGGTAGCTTCGGAATATTCAGCGGATAAGTAAAAGTTAATTTGGACTTCCGTGCTGCTTCCGTACAAAGTTCTAACCGGCTTTGAGTCTGTGGACGAAAATCCGACCAAGGGCCGTTATCATTCAATTAAGACCTTATGAGCAGTTTTTTCCCGTGGTATTGTGTATCGAACAGTAGATGTAATTATGAAGTGTGCGAACGCCATTTAAATGTACTGTTAGTTTTTAATACCTTCGTTGCCATCCATAAAAATCTAACTAGGATGATTAAGATTACTCTCACTCAGCATTTTTATACGTCTTGGAAAAGATTTCTGTTATCTATTTTTGCAGTGCCTTCTTAAAATAATCACCTCTCTCTGCGTAATTGCTGCTTTATAATTCCTTCTAATACTGTCATCCTAGCTGTCATATTTCAAAACTAATGCCACACTAAAACGGAAGGCAAATTGTAAACTTGTCCCTGATTTTTAAAGTACGTTATTAAGTTTGATAAGAATTTTGATAAGGAGCATTTTGAGGAGGTACTAGAATTTTTGATAACGATGTCGCTGTTATCAGATACTTGCTATCAGTATCTTAAATGCTGCTTGTATCTTTTATGCCCTTTAATGGCGTGCTTTGATTTTGAGACGGTGATAGTTTTTCCATCTGGACATCACGGATTTCGTGTTAATGTCTGAGTTATCATGATATGGACGCCAGTGTTCTGAGGACAACAAAATTTGCAGGGCTGTCGCATTGCAACAAGGAAAGCTGTGAAATGTAGTGAATGGGGACTCGAGGAAACGGTGATTCAGTGATTGACTCTCAAACCTGATAGCGTCGAGTAGGGCCAAATAAAAAAAGGCCATACAAATGTAACTATATTTTTTGGTAAAATCCTAAGAAATAAATGGTACAATACCAAAGGTTTCATTTGAATGGTAAGTCACAGAATTTCGTTCAGTCTGCAGATTACAGGCTTACGTTTTTGCCGTGTGCGCGAGTGTTTTCGGTTCCCGTCAGTAATAACGACCTGTCTAATAACCGCCATGTTGAAACGGCCATATTGAATTAATTAAAAAAGGGCGAATCAAAGGGAAACGCTTACCCCAAGGGTTGTAATTTCCACTCTCCCCAATCTTCCCCAGGAATAAAATTAAAGATGACCGCCACGGCATTACGAACTGGCCAATATAAGATCCCATTGGCCTAAAACCCCTTGGACACCTTTTAAAATTTTTACAACGTAGTAAATGTAAAGTTTATCGCTTTAGGTTTTTTTGTACTGTAGATACCGTAAAATTCTTAAAATAAGCCCCGGAACTTATATTTTTCAAAGGCCCTTTTTGAGGGGCTTATATGCGGAGGGGCTTATCTATGGAGGGAAATTTGCGTTTCAAAATCAATTGGGCTAGCCTTATAGTTGGAACGAAATTTACCGTTTTTGCTTTGTTTTACTTTGTATGTGAGGGCAATTTCCAAGTAAAAGCCCCCGGGGGCCTTATATTTGGAGGGGCTTATTTTCGGAATATTGCGGTATATAATGTAGAAGGGATAAGGGCTATGTTTCATAAACTTCATAACGTGTCGTGGGGCTTTTAGGCCGATTACGAACATTCACTCGTCCAAAAAATACGTCAGATCTGCAGATTTCGTGTACAGGTGTACAAAGTAAAGTTACAAAATCCATGTCATCTCATCATAACTCAGTCTAAGAGTGAAAGAGTTAGTTAATTAATTTCTTATTTCCTGATGAGATGACTTTGAACCCCGACAAACTAGTCCAGTAGTCACTGCTGAGCGGAAACAGAAATTTTTTTGTTGGCTGCAAAATTCAGTCGTGCACCTGTTCCAGGCGTTCAGATGGTGGAAGCTGTTGAAGAAGAAAAGTGATTAGAGAATCACGTGTTTCTTTTGCAATATATATGTGTATGGGTACAGACACTAAGGACGCGAGCAAATCAGGCAAATATTACTGGACTTGGATCAATTAACCTCTGACACGAGTTTCACATTAGAAAAGCTGTTTTTAAAACGAACGGAACAAGATTTTCGGGCCGCGAGCCAAATCTTAGATAAGACGAAAAACGTCTTCGAAATCAAAAATGTTACTGGAGTGAATGTAAACAACAAATCTCCGTCGGCGCCGGGTACAGTCCGGAAGGAAATCTTGTCGAGTCAACATGATAGTTCTATTGTCTTTTGAAGAAAAAACAGATGACGCTCGCGCTTGCGCATAATCGCCTCGTGACATAGTTCCTTTAAGCGTTTCACTGCCAGAGAGGGCGATGGAGTTTTGTAAGGTGACTCTAACTTTTGAGTCTGCGGACCAAATCCTATGATGTGACCTTTCAAACTCTAACTTTTGAGTCTGTGGACGAAATCCTATGATGTGACCATTCAAATGAAAGCTCTCTGCCAGTACTTACATTTGCTTTTTCCTAAATTTGGCGGTGAAAGGATTAAGCTCAATGATCTCATCTGTAGAAGCATTCACCTATTTTTTGTATCAAAATAACTGACATGTATATTTGTCTTTTTTTGGTAGTTCGCGGTGCGCGGCCCAAGCTTTCCAGACTACACGCTACGTTTCGTTTCAAGATAGAAACACCGCAAGGAGAGAACATGACTGCCGCGGAATTTCGCATTTATAAGGAGCAGAAGTTCAACAAGCTAAGGATCCCAATTTTAAACGTCACGTACCGCGTCGAATTACATCAGGTTTGTATCAGTTTACCCTAAAAAAGCTATATGTGACGGCTCCCCTCCAAGGTCCAACCTCTTACCCTTTAATATGCCATTTTTGACCGAAAAAAGGTACCTCTTTCCTATACCTTCTATTGACAAATGGTAACCTTGTCACTTATCTAGTTAAAACCTTGCATCCCTTTTAACCGCTGTAAATGCACTGTCTTAAACCCTTTAGCTCCCAAGAGTGTCCAACATCAGTTTTCTCCTAACAACATCAGCAGATCAATAAGAGTAAGGTTATGAGAATTACTAAATTGATTACCAAAGGGAGAATGCTTTGATCTTAAACCAAATTCTCTCAACTATTCATAAAAGAAATGTATGGAGATCGGTCTGGAGAATTTGTATATGGATCTTGGGGCTTAAAGGGTTAAAATATGAATAAATTACCAAACCAGAACGTTTTGGCGAGTTTTCCAGTCATAAAATGCATCTCTTAGTCCTTTTGGGCCTTTTACAGACCGTAATGACAGATTTTCCCACCCGTTTCATATGCTTCAACAAGTGAAATCCCTACCCTTTCATATACCTCAAGCCTGGAAAAGGTACCCCTTTCGGGCGGAGCCTCCCTGTATGGGCCATTGTAGCCGGAAGCGCCCCGCGGGTGTGTTACGAAATTTATGAAAATTTGAACAGTGAGAATTGCACCCAAACTGGAGTGAAACATAAAACTAACCCCTCAAAACATTTAAAAGACGTTATAAATAACACAGCGAATTCACAAAAGGAGAAACGGATAGACAAACTTGAAGAACCATGAAACGGATTGTAAATATAAACAACAACTTTGCACGTGCATCGCTCTTTTGTACATTTCCTTGCCTTGCCTTGTCGAGGACATTAATACAAGACAAAGACTCTCCACTTCTTTTCCTGTATTTTTATAAAGTCTTCAAGAATTCAACTCCAGACAAATTTGCCATCATTTGACAAATTGAACGAGTTGGAATAAGTGGGATAAAGTTTGAAGTAGCGCAAATTCACTTTTTAAGTGACGTTTTCGTAGCCTTCGTCCGGCGTCGTTGTTGCTTAAGGTGATGTTACACGGGACAATTCGCAGCGATGATTTTTAGCGCAACACAGCGTTGCAATGCTGGAACAATGTTGTAACCATTCGAAACAATGTCGCAACAATGTTGCAACGCTGTGTTGCGCTTCAGTTAAATCGTCGTTTCGAATCGCCTCGTGTAACATCACCTTTTAGCTCTCTATTAACAAAATGAACTAGACAACCATGACAAAGCCCCGTAAAACCCAGAATGGTCTCCCTTATATCAATTAATTAATTCTCATTTGTTGCCCTCATGCTTTTCCTCTCTTGATTTTCCTATAGAAACAGTTAGGAGAACATGCTTAAGTATCAGACTCTAATTTCGTGTAGCAGGTAGCCTTACAAAAGAGCCGACATTTCGCGACGCCACCACTGGCTGGTTTACCCTTTAACCCTTTAAGCCTTAATATCCAGATACAAATTCTCCAAACTGATCTCCATACATTTCCTTCAAGAATTAGTTGAGAGAATTTGATAGAAGATCAAAGCATTGTCTCTTTAGTGATCATTTTATAAATTCTCATTGCCTTATCTCTTGGCAAGGTATCAATATTGTGGGGAGAAAATTGATGTTGGTCACCATTGGGACTTAAAAGGTTAAGTGACGTCTGAGAAACAAGCATAGAGATTCCATACTGATGACGCAGCACTACTCAGATCTGGATAGTGCTTCTGATTGGTTGGCTGAAGAAAATTTACCACGCGGCACGACCAATCAAAAGCACTACCCAGATCTGGGTAGTGTCGCGTCATCAGTATGGAATTTCTACGCTCGTTTCTCAGACGTCATTTTGCGGGGAAAGCAGTAGTGGCGTCGCCAAATGTCGGCTGTTTTCTGACGCTATGAAGCAGGTAAAGAAGCACCATTATAACACAGTCTTTTTTTGTAATCTAGGTTCGGCAGCCGGGAAAAGATCTACAGCGGCTGGGCGTCCTTGTTGTACGTCACTGGGAAAAGGGCTGGCAAGCATTTGACGTCACAACTGCTGGACTTGAATGGGCGAAAGAACCCTCTAAGAACTTTGGGATAGAACTTTCGGTGCGTACTATGGCTGGAGTAGAAGTGAACCCATTTGACATCGGTTTTGTCGGTTTTCACGGCCCGCAAGAAAAGCGTCCATTTTTAGTGTCGTTTTACCGTGGTGACACATATCGGCGCTTTTTCCCCAATCAACCTTTTCCCCAGCATTCCCCGAGGCGTCGACGCTCTCCTCGATCTCTCAGGCCTCAGTTAGCCAACGTGGGATCTAGCTCCAAGAGTGGTAACCACAAAAGCTGTAGTCGAAGGATGCTCTACGTAAGTTTCCAGCGATTAGGCTGGCAGGATTGGATCATAGCCCCGGAGGGGTATTCTGCTTTTTTCTGTCATGGCGAGTGTTCCTTTCCTCTCAGCGCACATATGAATGCGACAAATCACGCCATTGTACAAACGCTGGTACATCTAATGACCCCGAGTGTCGCACCTCAACCTTGCTGCTCTCCGACCAAACTCACGGCTATCTCAGTTCTGTACTTCGACGATGACAACAACGTTGTTCTTAAAAAGTACACGAATATGGTGGTGAAGGCCTGTGGTTGCCATTAGTGACCCCAGTGACCTTGAGAAAAGTCAGTTACCAAAAGTCTCCACTACCTTTTCGAGAGAAAAAAAACCCGAGCGACTAAAGAGAGACGCGCGCAGTTATCACAACCATAAAGCGAAGTGTTTTGACGCTGTATAATTATCTGTTTTCAAGGATGTATATCTCAGATGCCATATCACATACTGCATTGCAAACCGAAGTTGCAAACCAAGACTTTTGCCTTAAAAGATAGAAAAGGAAGCCTAGAAGGTAGGCCGGCCAGTTATACGGACAGATGAGAGATGTAGTTGATAAACTGTTTGAGAATAGTGCGCGAACCTTTCCTCGCGGAGCTTTCAGCATATGGTCTATATAAAACGGTCTTTTGTTCTAGTTTTGCAGACTTGTTCAGGAAAAAAGTGATAGTTCATAGTTAAAGTCATAAATTATATATGTAAAATATTAGAAAAAATACCAAAAGCAGTTTTGTAAAATTCTGTCGAAAGAGGAAAACAAAACTGCTTCCTTGAGAAGTAAAGCCTGTGTACAGCCGCCTTCTCCCCTCCAAAAAAAATCGGGGAGAAAAAGATTTTTTTTTTCGAGGGAACGGGGCGGCTTTTCAAAGGCTGTGAGAAGTATGGTATGTTATCTGATAATTGTTGCAGTAGTAATAAAGCCTTAAGAAATTCTCCGTGATAAGTTTGGGTATTAAATGCAAAGAATTTCATACAGCTGTCAAAAACTGTCGAGGGAGGTTACGCTACCTCGACGGAGAGGGCAGCGGAAAAGTTACTCTGAAACTCGTCGTCTGTTTGCGCTGTTTCAAACTCCATCGTCTGGAACCAACGGGCACAAACAGACTGTAGGTTCAAACATCCACGAGACTTTTGTTAAAATAAACGCTGGGCATTAAAAAATACAAAATATATTAGTTAGAAAGACTTGAATATTCATTGTATTTGCACTGGATGCTGTGAAGGAAGCTTCATACGGCATAGCCTTCATTGGAATCATCACACTTAAAATTTAGGGTTTTTTCCACAGATAAAATAAGTAAGAACCACCTTGTACAGTATTGTTGACGATACCACCAAAGAGTATTGCCAAGTAGCTTTCATTTGAATGGTGGTACTTAAGGATTTCATCCACACACTCAAAAGTTAAACCACTTCGTAAAAGCATAATAAATAGAAACACAGGAAAGTACTGCTCATTTAAATGGTCACGCTTTAGGATTTCTTTCAAAGGATGACAAATATTCAAAAGGTCTAGATAGCTGCAACAATATAGATAGCTGTATAACATAACAACTTTCAGTAGGCAAGGGAGGGAAAACACCACCTCACTCGGGAGTCGAGCCCCAGGAAACACCTAAGTTCTATTTTAAAATCCCTTAAGTTGGGCATTTCTCAGTCACGGGACGGAGAAGTAATCGCTAACTTGCTAATCAATTTTGTAAGCCTGTTGATATAAGGCTTGTCTTTACTACTTTCAAAATCAAGAATCTTTTTAATAATCTGAAAGATGCTGTCCCTGGGGGCTTCGCACCCATGTGGTTTATAAATTTTCGTGTTATGTTGGTGAAACCAGCCGACATATCTCCACACGAGTGCGTGAGCACTTACTTTCCGACAGGTCTTCGATTGCTTTTAGACATCTGCAGAGTTCAGAGTCTTGCCGAACATCCTGCACACTGGACTCTGCAGCTACTAAATACCAAGTGAAGCTAAAAGAATCTATTCATGTTCATAAAATGGGAGAAACCTGACCTCAACCAGCAGGTGAAACACATAAACCTGACTCTCTCCCTGTAAGTAGCTGAGCGTCACTAATTTTAAACTTTTCAGTACGCAATATTGCCAACGTAATGTAACGAACTTTGTAACATCGCACGGGATTTAAATTCAACAGCGATTTCAAAATATGTAACACTGAAGATGACGGATGTACCGTCGAAACATGTCTGGTAAATTAAAGAAAGTTGTTATGTTTATGACAAATATTATAACCATCCTTTACAGCACAGAAATATGTTTTTAAGGCCTAGTACATTCCTATTCTTTTCTTATTCAACTTTTTACAACCATTCAAAATGTTTGAATGTATCAGAAAAACACTCTTTCACGTGTTTTTTTAGTAGCTTCCCTTGTGATTACTTTTGAAAACGAATGTTCTTTGCAAAGCTGGAAACCTTTTGCAACTAATTTATAAACCTTTTTCGTTGTGGTGAAAAGGTTTGTTTCATCTTTGCAAACTGTTTTAGTGTGCTAGAACATGATAAAAGCTTCGCCGGAAGAAATGCACTGTTTGATAGAGAATGCACTTTTACGTGATCTTAGAAGACTTCTTAGTGTTGCATTTATGGCCGGAGTGTATCCATATTTTTAAATCTATCTGGACAAATATGATATGATAACTTTGTTTTATTAAAAAAGATGTGTTTATATATTTATAAGTTCTTTGTAAACGTCATTTCAAGGGGTTAGAAAATGTGGAGAAAATAGATGTAGTTTTCCTCAGTATGAGAAAACGTTACCTTTCTTAAGCTATCATCCAATTTCTCGTTATCGTTTGAGTTACGAAAAGAGCCACCACAAGTGGATGTTTTGATTTTAAGAAGAATTATTCTCATAGTTTGTAAATTCACGGATGAAAGGCTCTAATATACAGTCATCTTTTTTTTTCGGCTACCTTGCGCCCTGTTTGTCCTAATTCAAAATGGCGCCCGATTCACTTGAAAGGGTTTATAAGTATCACAGGATCATCATGAAAAGAAAGTTATAAACACGGTAAGTTTGACTAGGAAAGCGCAAGGTTTTACAAAATATTTTATTCAAAAACCCGAAAGAGTTTCACAGCAACCACTCGCAATTCTTAGCGTAGGGAAACTCATTTTTAAAACGCTATAGCTTTTCCTCGTGTACAAATGTTAGTGACCGGCTAGAAACCTCTCTCACAGTAAATTTTTTCCCTTGTCTTTTCATTTTATGTGACTCGATGATGATCTCATGGCGTCTGTCCTCATAATCCAGAATGGCTAAAATCGCTTTCATTTGCTCGTCAGCGTGAAAATCTATCATATAATAGAAGAACGCATCTCGGAGAAATTTCATTTTAAGTTGTGTTTGAATTTCCTTCTGCGTTTGTTTGTGGGTTCTGGTGGTGCTTCCAATATTCGGTCTTGTGGATATTGCTTTATCCTCTCCCCCATTTTGATTGTTGAGTTTAAATTCTTCTAGTTGTTTTTCAGTTTCCTTTAACTTACGCTGAAGTTCAACCAATTCATGCATCGACGAGCAACAAGGGATAATTTCGTCTGAGTCTCCATTTTCCGTGGGAGTTTCGTACTCTCGTAGTTTTTCCTTCAGTTCTTGAATCTCATCTCGTAGTTTTGATTTCTCGTTTTCCTCCTTTCGTGACTTGTCCGCCTTTGATTCGTTTTCTGCTTCGAGTTTCTTCCTCGCTTGTGTCNTTGTGGCTATTGCTTTATCATCTCCCCCATTTTGGTTGTTAAGTTTAAATTCTTCTAGTTGTTTTTCAGTCTCTTTTAACTTACGCTGAAGTTCAACCAATTCATGCATCGACGAGCAACAAGGGATAATTTCGTCCGAGTCTCCATTTTCCGTGGGATTTTCGTACTCTCGTAGTTTTTCCTTCAGTTCTTGAATCTCATCTCGTAGTTTTGATTTCTCGTTTTCCTCCTTTCGTGACTTGTCCGCCTTTGATTCGTTTTCTGCTTCGAGTTTCTTCCTCGCTTGTGTCTCCTTGTGAAGATCTTTGCGCGCTCGCTCGAGGTCATGTCGTAACACACTGTTCTCTTTGTCTCGCTCAAATAGGAGACGTCTTGTGTCTTGTAAAGCGCGCTCAAGCTCACAAATTGTAGCTCTTAGCAGAGAGTTTGAAGTCACCGAAACAGAATCTGATATAAAATCATTGTTACTCTTTTGATTATTATCACTTTCCCCTTCCTTATCGGAGTCTTCGTCGAAAAAAAAAAAGTCCACCTCAAAGTCGTCTAATTTTAGTGCAGCTTTTCCCTCCTGAGCTTCGTTGCTCTTTCTCCTTGAATTCTCCATCAAAGCTAAAACGAAAACGTCAGAGACCAGTGATGATCTGGCTGAACATGAACTTTCACGTGTAAGATAAAATCAGCTGTGATGTTTTGAGACTGGACAAAGAACAATAAAGCGAGACATGTGAACCTGCGAGCGGTTTTCCTTAAACCGGAAGTACCTGTTACTAAACTGCGGTCACCTGTTTGGGGAATACCACACGACACTGGTGGGATGTCCGTCGTTTTCTTAGAATTGACCGCGTCCACTTTCGTGTGTTTCCTGATATTTTTACTTTTTTGCTTTTAATTCCCATTTCTAGGTTTCCCTCCCTAGTTTTATAAAAAGGGGGACATTATAATCTAGTATCCGGAGCCTGCACTTAATGATTTCAGTGAAGAGCGAGGCCAGTTTCCGGAAATAATAACAGTTTCGTTCTCAGGGCCCCTGTCAGCTGACAGAGAAAAGAAGCAAAAGGCCCTGGCGACTAGAATAGAAAACAAAGATCCAAAGTTAAAAATGTGAAAAGATGTTGTTCCCAACGCATGCACAAAGATGTTCACGTATCATAAATCAACGGAGATCTGTACGTCCATCATGCTATTTGGCTGCCTCGGCCCTGGTCGTCCTCGGCGAGTTCGGATCATGACGTCACTAGTCAAGGTTGTTTGGAGAATTTGCTCATCGTGCACTGTTCTAAGCCCCCTCTGCTCCACCAGCGGACAAAGTGCGCCTTAGCCTGGGGACGAGGACGACTTTTTATTCCATTTCCTCGTCGACATCAAGTTCGACTACAAAGTGAAATTTTTCAGTAAGATTCGTTTTTAGAGAAGGTGTGAACATTCGGCAAATCTTGCTTCCTCCCTTTCTGAACTTCATCAACATTTACAGTGCGACTACTCGAACCGGGGCACTTGGAAGAAGATTCCAATCACAACGTTTTTTGAAAACAAACGATTCTCAAGTTTTTTTTGCAAACGGACCAATTAAATTCGGGGTTTAACTATTCAACCGTTGAAAACTTAAAACCGTTTGAACTTACCTGACCTCTCAGGAAACAGCCCTCAAAGTTATGAAGGTTATTGGTCCTTTTGCAAAAAAACTTGAGAATCTTTTGTTTTCATAAAACGTGTGACTGGATGATCTTCTTCCAAGTGCCCCGGTTCGAGTAGTCGCATTGTAACAAATTGAACGAGTTGGAATAACCACGATAAAGTTTGAAAAAGCGTTAATTTAAACATAGGGGCGCTGTCCATTTGTCGGAACAGGCCGGCCTGACCATTGCCCGACCAGTCAGTTTGATTACGAAATAGGCTTTTTCCAAGAGTTTTTGCTGAAAAACCGTCTCCTCGGTGGATGCTATTCAGGATTTGACTGATCTGGCTGGAGAGTTTTGATTAAAAGGGAAATTATCATTGCTACGGGAACATGAATGTTCTGGCCGATCAGCTCTGACAAATGGAAAGCGCCCTAACTTTCTCGCCGTATGTTTGTTTGTTTGTCTTTTTTATTTTTGTAGTAACCGCTCTCACGTAAAAACGTTCAAAAGGTTCTTGGTACTGCTATATAAAAAAACCAATTTCACAGGGAATTCCACGAAGCTAAATCTTCTGAAAAGGGACGACTTCACATTACCTCATCATCACTATTGAAATTACCTTATTACAGTAGAAATGTGTAAGAATTTTCTTCGAAACCCTTCGAAAGTTACTAATAGTCATCAAATTTCCACTCAAGAAAAATTGTAAATTGTATTTCGCAAAATTCCTGATAAACGCTATTGAGAACAAACAATCAAACAACAGAAACAGTACTGTGCAACAGTACCACTGAGGAATTTTGCTTGAATGGTTACAGTAAATTAAACTTTAGGATTTCACACACAGACTCAAAAGGTTGATCAACCTTGCGTACAGCACAATAAACAACACCAAAAAGAAGTATCCGCACTGTTGCTGCCATTACAATGGTCAAACTAACAGACTCAAAAGTTAAAATAGCTTGAGTGAAGACGTCTCCTATTTACGCCCTATTTCCTTTGTTCTGCACCCAGGCTAAAGTTAGAACCACCCGGCTTGTACAAGATTATAAAGCCTGCCGCAGGAAAATGAGGTACGGCGTAGTATATCTCTTCTTCTTGAGTCGTCGCTCGGTACGACGTCTAACACGGGATTTCGCCCACAGACTCAAGACTTAGAATTACATGCACCTCAATTATAGGACGGAATATTGTAAGATGACTTAGACCAGAATGCACCAAACCATACAGTCACCGCAGGAGTCACAGTGGTAAATGAATGTGGTCTTATTCATTATCTGTTAGGTAGCCTTCATTTATTGTTCTTTGCTTGCGTATAAATAGAACCCTGTCATTTATAAAGCAAATAAAATGAATACGAAAAAAAAAAAAAAAGCTGCACTAAACTCTTTTATTTACCTCCGTGATTAAATATTTGTTCTTTACTTACAGGTACAGACTTTCTCATTTTTATTTACAAATATTGCGCGCCTAAATCTACTCCTCAGTTGGGATACTGATTGCAGACTACAAGCTTACTCTATACACTTCTTTTTTGTCTACAAATATGGTGCATGGAGTTATCCTATTTTTACCACAAATTATTTACAAGAGTCTTCTCTTTCTCTTTGTTTTAAATAGCTATCACCTCTAAAGTACACTTCCATTCATTTGAACAATTATCACATTTCATTTATTTCATGAAATTTTGTTCCTATTATCTGTAATCAGACATTTTCGGCAAACTTTCTTTGTAAATCAACATTGCAGCGAAGATTGCGGAAACCATTTTGGCTATAAGTAGTGACCTTTCCGGAGAATTGTCGCAGAAAGGAGAAAGCTTGAAAATTGTCAGTTTGACAGGTTCATGTGACCAAAGAGCAAAGCTCTGGACCAAGGAGAGCTGTTGAAAACTTTCGTCAACGATTGTTGAAAATGTCATCGCTAAAAAGTTTTAACTACATATGTGGAAGAACCAAAACATAGTTCAGAGGTTAAATTTGTATGATAAGGTGATGGTTTTTATTTATAGTTACTTAGTTTATTGCTGGTAGAGGAACTAACCGCTTATCCCGACAGGTGGCGATAAAAGACCTCCTCCGGACTGTTCATTCATGACAGTCTTTTCCCGCCAATGTCACCAGGATGAATCGCTGGGCGGTCATAAACGACGCGAGGAGGCCTTCCGGGCAAAATCAATTACTCAAGTTTGACCTTTCCAGCCCAAATTTCAGGCTTTAGATTGACAAAGAGAAAATTCTCTGACTTTGTGACTTTTGTTGCGAAATTTACCGAGGAGTAAATGTCAAACATTCAACGTGTTTTCTCAACACTGCGTTAAGTCATGATATGTGTCCATATTTTCTCGAAGTGTTCTACAGTCAGCTTATTGTACATGGGCTATCTCGATGCGCTACTCCGACCCTTACCTTACTCCGTTCTAAAGTTTTAAAAGCTCGCTTTAGATTACTATACTTTTGCTCTGTGACGTGAAGTTTCTTCTTCAATTCCACCATCTCTTTCATGGCCCCGCACAGCGATCCACAGTAACAAGTCTGTCCTGCGACATTTGCTTCATTGAAGTTTAAAAAAAAAAAAGCTGCACTAAACTCTTTTATTTACCTCCGTGATTAAATATTTGTTCTTTAGTTACAGGTACAGACTTTCTCATTTTTATTTACAAATATTGCGCGCCTAAATCTACTCCTCAGTTGGGATACCGATTGCAGACTACAAGCTTACTCTATACACTTCTTTTTTGTCTACAAATATGGTGCATGGAGTTATCCTATTTTTACCGCAGATTATTTACAAGAGTCTTCTCTTTCTCTTTGTTTTAAATAGTTATCACCTCTAAAGTACACTTCCATTCATTTGAACAATTATCACATTTCATTTATTTCATGAAATTTTGTTCCTATTATCTGTAATGAGACATTTTCGGTAAACTTTCTTTATAAATCAACATTGTAGCGAAGATTGCGGAAACCATTTTGGCTATAAGTAGTGACCTTTCCGGAGAATTGTCGCAGAAAGGAGAAAGCTTGAAAATTGTCAGTTTGACAGGTTTATGTGATCAAAGAGCAAAGCTCTGGAACAAGGAGAGCTGTTGAAAACTTTCGTCAACGATTGTTGAAAATGTCATCGCTAAAAAGTTTCAACTACATATGTAGAAGAACCAAAACATAGCTCAGAGGTTAAATTTGTACGATAAGGTGATGACTTTTATTTATAGTTACTTAGTTTATTGCTGGTAGAAGAACTAACCGCTTATCCTGACAGGTGGCGATAAAAGACCTCCTCCGAACTGTTCATTCATGACAGTCTTTTCCCGCCAATGTCACCAGGATGAATCGTTGGGCGGTCATAAACGACGCCAGGAGGCCTTCCGGGCAAAATCAATTACTCAAGTTTGACCTTTCCAGCCCAAATTTCAGGCTTTAGATTGACAAAGAAAAAATTCTCTGACTTTGTGTCTTTTGTTGCGAAATTTACCGAGGAGTAAATGTCAAACATTCAACGTGTTTTCTCAACACTGCGTTAAGTCATGATATGTGTCCATATTTTCTCGAAACGTTCTACAGTCAGCTTATTGTACATGGGCTATCTCGATGCGCTACTCCGACCCTTACCTTACTCCGTTCTAAAGTTTTAAACGCTCGCTTTAGATTACTATACTTTTGCTCTGTGACGTGAAGTTTCTTCTTCAATTCCACCATCTCTTTCATGGCCCCGCACAGCGATCCACAGTAACAAGTCTGTCCTGCGACATTTGCTTCATTGAAGTTATCCTTTGCGAGTATGTTCTCTCTCTCCGCTTTGTACATGGTTATATCTTGCTGAAGTTGTTGTACAACCTTTTCCAAATCAAGAACTCGCTTTTGAGAGTTCTTAAACTCTTCTTCAAGAGTATCGCTTGCGTTATTTCCGCGTTCACCCCGACATAAACCAAGATCACTTCGCAATGAAACGATCTCATTGTCTCTTTGTGAAAGCAACTTTGTCGATTCACGCAAGGCGGTTTCTAATTGGCTGATAGTTTCTCGAAGAAGAGATTCAACTTCCGTTTCATTTTTACACTTGTAGTTATACTCCTCGAAGTTGTTTTTCACACAGGCTTCCAGCCCCTCTCCCACCTCTCTTTCGCCGATCGATGGCGTTGTTAACTTCTCCAATCGTTCCATTAGTCGACGGAGCAAGGCGCACTTGACTTTCCTTCAAACTGACTGAAATTCAACTCAAATTAAGTCGCGTGTTTCACATCACACACACTGCATTTGCTAGAATTAATTTGCGTTGGCGATGACACAGCTTGTACAATGAGAATCGAAAACAAAAGGAACCGTTTATGACCAAGCCCACACGCTGCGACCATGAATAAATCAGGGTGTTCATTGTAGCGTGACGTGCCAGTTAAGGCATGCTTCATCAAGCATAAACACCCCGCGAAAAAAAAGCGATTTTTGTAAAACACAAACAGACTAGAGCAATTTGTATTTCATCATGCTTTGATCGAGATACAGTAACATTTTCTATTTTGTCCGTGAATTATATTCCAATTCTCTCTTTTGTAAATTTGAATTTGCACTTTAAAAACTAATTGAACAATGTTAAAAAGCACTTGATCAGTAATTACTCCGGCACTGATTCAACAGCTATTATTTTTGTCAAACAAAGCTAAACCTTTATAAAGCTGAAGCGACATGGTTTCGTGGTTGTGCGGCAATTGGCCTCGGTAGGTGGTTAGAACGTACAGCCAAATTGCATATTCTCCTCAGTCGCAAAATAAAATACGTCCCACCCCAAATCAGGCTTCAGAAATTCACTAAATAATTGACAGCTCAGAATTCTCACCACTCAATATTAGATTTAAAGCTCGGTGTACTTTTTTTTCTCAAATACCACTTAATTAATACCAAATATATCGTATGTGGAGGTGCTTTTTATACATATCAATCTTACTTACAAGATAATCACTACTAAAGGTTAGGTGTCTATTGCCCTTGATAAACCATGAAATTCTCCATACTGAAGAAAAGGCACAGTGAAACTCGTGTCAAGACAGTATAAAAAAGGGCTTGAGTCACGAAACATGAATGTCGCTTGTACAGTAGTATCCGCTTAATGTATATATAGGTGTCATCAGGCTCATACTAGTACAGAAAAATGGGACGAAACTTTTCATTTGAGGGCTTGTTGATGCTAATTTTCCGCTTAATGCAGAAAGTTCGCTCATAACATAGGGTCGGCTTACTACAGGTTTCACAGAAATGCAACCAAGGGGCACAGAAGAGAGTTATCAAGTTCCTTAAGAATGCTTTCTGTCGATTAACTTTTTATCAGTAAAGTATAAAGTCTATTGTTCAAGTCGTTTCTCTGAATTGCTCATGTAGTAGCTTTCATTTGAACTGATTCAGATTGTTGTGCAGAGCATGTCAAACTTCTGTTGTTAGTTATGATTAATTTTGAGCCAAACAAAGTCTCTTAAAAAAGTACCAAGTAAACTAATTATCACATTATTTATTTTTCTTTTGTTAACCACGTGGAACATAACCGTAAGCAAATTAATGCCACGACTTTTCCTTCGACCCGTGAAAGTTTCTCATGTAACACTTGGGGTGGAAGTACAACAGTTTCAAATCATTCAAGCCAGAAACTTAAACTGAATCACAGAAAATGCTGTGCGTTTTAAGTTTTGAAGCATTTTCCTATGAGGAATCAGTTCTAACTCTATCATAAAATATTTTAACTTGCCACCGTCGACTAATTGGTAAAAAGATTATATTGATCATGTAAAAATGTCAGCAAATCGAAACCAACGAAGCAGACCAGTGATTCCCTTTCGTATACATGTATGTAGCGCCTCCAGAATGGCACCCAGACTGCGTGAGCTAGCCCGCATAGCAAGCATTTCCGCGCTAGTTCGTCGAGAACGTTTTTTTGCTCTCGTTCAAACTTGTGTAACGACCTCGCGCTGGAACGCTTGCTTTAAACATTATTTTCCTTATTACGGGAAAGCGTACGTATCTCGCAAGAACAGTAACCCGCTAGGCCATTTGGCACCCTACGTGGCCATAGCACTTGATCTTGGGCACCAAATGACCCCTGACGAAACAGTTAAATCCACTGTTTAATCAACACCTCCCTTGATATTCTTTACCGTTATTCACAATAATAAACTAATATTCACTTTCACCTGTTGAGGAGCTTTACCTTGTTAGATGTCACCTCTTTTAAAATGTTTGTAAAAGTGTGCTGCTCGCTTTCAACGCTTTTATTTTTAAAAAATCCCTGCTCATTTGAGACATGAAGTTGAGGACGATTTTACACCATCCAACAAATGGTGACTCACTTGTATAACGTTAACGACATCGGTTTTGTCGATATCGGTTTTATTATATCATTAACTGGAAAACAAAAATTACCGAGCAATTTGTGTCCCAATTCTCAACCCCGGCTGCCCGGCTGCCATGTTTGTTGAAAGCAGATCTAAATACTTTCATGAGATCATTATTATTATCGTTTCAATGATTTTTGTTTAAAGTTTTTGTAATTATTACCGTCAAAAAGCTTTCATCCCTATCTTGATGATCCTTTACGCATTGTGGAGAAATTATCTCACTGATCACCTTTAAATAGTGACTTTCTTTCCGATGCGTTAAACTCGATCAACCGTTGGATGCGTTTCTGGTGTGTTCTAGAATTACACGAGATAGAAAACTCAAGGTCAGGTCTAAAAACTATATAAGAGTCTTAGCTCAGGGTCTTCTCTTCACCGTCATACGTACGAGGAGTTTGTACCTTTAAAGATGGTCATGTTGGTTCCATTCTATTCCGTGCTTTATCCTTCTCTGTTTGCAGCTGTTTCATGGAAACAAGCAAATAGCGCGGGAACAATAGTGATATGCTATAGTATTGTCGCCGTTCCAAGTATTGAATCTGTAGACGGTGAATCCTAGCGTGTTACTATGAAAACGACACTCCTCCGTGGCCGTACTTTTGTATATAGCACACTGGTACTACTGTTTTGTTTTTCATTAAATTGGGAGTTGAGATTATTATGTTTTGCTTCCTTAGGTACCGTATTTTCTCGATTAAAGGCCGGACCCCGATTAAACGCCGGCCTTTTTTAAACGCCGGGTCAAAACTGCTAGTTTTTAAATAAACGCCGGGGGCGTTTGTTCGAGGTCCCGGCGTTTAATAAAGGTCCCGGCGTTTATTTGCGTCGAGCCAACAAGTACAGATATTCACTAGAAAAGCGCTGCTATGACACGTACGGATCGGAAGATGAGAAAATCCACTGTCTTCAGAAAGAAGGCCCACTAAGCAATGGGGGGGAGGTGTTTACGGAAAGGGCCGCGGCATTTTACGCTGCGCTGGGACAAGGTGCTCCCGTAGATGAAAACGACCCATTCGCAGACCTAGAGCCGGACATTTTCGAAGAAGAACGTAATGAGATTGTTGTCCACGAAGATTAGTCGATTAGAACGCAAACATTATTGCGAACGTTTGTTGATACAAACATAAAGGACGTTGGCGACATTACCATTTTTAAACTTTAAACGTTTTGTTCTGTTTGCATAAATACTGATTACAATATACACGTGCCGTATGTAATGCCGTATGTAATACCGTATGTATGAGATACAGGGACATTATGTTAGGTCGGGTCCAAGGGAGAAATCGTCCCGCCTTGACAAACTGCGCACGGATCTCAAAGAATGTGAAATAATACATCAACCTAAAAATGATGAAAATTTTATTTCATTAATAAACGCCGGACCCCGATTAAACGCCAGCTTCAAATAAACGCCGGGTCCCTGAGGCCAAGTTTTAAATAAACGCCGGGGGAGTTTAATCGAGAAAATACGGTATGTGTATAAAGCTTTTACAAAAAAAATTCTGGGAACGAATCCGATGGTGAGGTGCCGGGGTTTCGCTGAAGTTGATCACGGTTGATGAAAATGGCCGTTTGGAAAAGGAGGTACCGTCGATCAAAGGTTTCCATTTGAAGGGAAAGACTGCAATAATTGTTACTGGGAATAGTGGCACAAACAGATCAGTATAAACTTATTTGTAACTGGAACGAAAGAAAATGCTCCTGCATTTGAAAATACATCCCCTTTTACTTGGTTATATTTCTGGCGCCCGCAGTTGTTCAAAACTGGTGGATAATGCTATCCACTGGATAAATCTCCATCCAGTCGGTAACGCAATTGGTTTCCCTAATACTTATCCACTGAAAGTGATTTATCCCTTAGAATGCACTATCGAGCGTTTGAACAACCAGGGCCTGGAGGCCCGGAGGGGAGGTACTGCCATATATGGACTATATAGGTATGAAAAATATGAAACGGCAAACTATAAATCCTTACGGCAAGGCGATGAAGAAGTAAACAAAAGATATTTTTGTTTTATTCTTTTGTTTACTTCTTCATCGCCTTGCCGCAAGGATCAGTTTGCCGTTTATTTTTCTACAAGTTTAATTCTACTGATCCAGGTCTACAACTGGGAGATCCGGCACCACTCATTGGTTTGTTGCTGTGGACTTGCTGACATTTTATATATATAGGTATGGGCCGTTGTGAATAGAAGGGTATGGTTTTCAAGCAGTTCACTCTGGGATAGGGTATATAAATCAGAGAGTTTGGGTCTAGAATAGGGTATCATTTTCCAGGAAACCGTTCAATTGGTTGAAGATTTTAATCTAGACTAGAGAAACCAGGAATTGACAAACGAAAACGTACGAAAAAATCAAATCGGCAAGTTTAGCCTAAAAGCTACTCTAGGATAGGGGGTAATTTTAGAGATTTTAGTCAGGAGCCGAATACTAGCGCAGGGTAACAAAATTCAGCTGAACTAGCTCTGGTATAGGCTGAGGGTTCCAGGGTCCCAGCGGCACATCCCTACCCAAAAATTCCTAAATTACCCCCCCGGGCCTGGAGGCCTCCTGCAGTTTCCTCGACAGGTGTTTGCCGGTAACTTTAAGACAATTCTTTTTTGATAGCGATGTGTTATGGAGAATTCCAGCTCATTGAACTGGAGAATCTTAATAACTCTTGCCATTGAACAGTTAACTAAAGTGAAATAAAGCGTCTTATATTTGGGCTGCTGCATGGCGATTTCGCTGAAGTGCGGTGAACTGGAGCCCCCATTTTGAATGGTAGCACCGCAGGCAGACCAC